AATAATATATGTTCAAGTATTATATAAAAATTATAAATTTATTTTTATTATTTTTGTTAAACAGTCATTAAGATTTTTAGAATATTTTGAAATTTGTATATAAATCGTATACAAAATGAAAACCTTGATTTTTAAACTTTAATAACTTTTTATATAAAATTATGAAAAATCTAAAAAACTATAACTGAGCTAATAACTATATATAGAATCTATTAATAAAATTTTATTTAATTATATTCATTGAATAAAAAGTTATAAATATCTAAAAATCACTGTTTTTGGTGTGAAAGGGTGGCCCAAAAGGGGGGGTGGCCGAAAAGTAGAGTAGTGGATTTATAGGTTCTATTAATATAATAGGGTCTCCATTTAAAATGATATTGTCGAATACTCGGAATGAATAAATACCATTATCTACCTAACCAGTTAAGATAGTATGCTAATATCAATTACCTTATATAGTCATCGAGAGCTGTAGTTCAGGAAACCTATTATGCGTTTACAATAACCTTCTCTGTCAATATCTTACAAATCTTCGTCTTCGACTTTGGATTATTGGCCCATTCCACCTGACTATACTTCCACAAATCCCCAATAATTTCCACTATCTGTTGCCAGCGCCTTTTATCCCCCTTCATCACCGTTTCCGACCGATTATCACCCAGTAAAATAGTGAATTTCAACCCATCAATTTTATGCTCTTTGATACCCGTTCTCTCTGCAAAGACTGAGATGAACGATGACAGGGAAAGATCTTCGAGGTCATTGATTTGGAAGATAAGAGGATGTTCAAAGTCAAATCTTTGTTTCCCCAAAAGAACAAAGTTGATGTTGTGGGTGAATGTGGCAATTGGGAGATCATCCTCAGATGATGGCTCTTCTATTGGAGCTTGGGCTTCAGGCTGGGGTGAAGGAGTAAGAAATGGGGACGGCTTTGAGTCTCTTGGATTAAGTCCGTACCCGGTGGAGGACTGTCTAGGAAGTGTCGAGTTGCGGAACTGTGATCCATAGCTCGTACCTGGGATCGGGGTGAGCTCCAACTTGATGGCGGCTGCCCTTGCTCTAGGGCTTATTGGATGTGTTAGAGTCAGTTTAGAGATCAGTAGTGTGTTACGCGCCAAAACATCCTAGAACTTCGAATTAGATAGGGTGAACTTTCATAATGATGAGTCAAACTTTACCTCAATCAACTGTACAAAACTTCTGATTTGAGATGTGCCATTTGATTGCAAAGCATTGGCCACATGTTGCGATACTTCTATTGGATCATTTTGACCTCTATCTACCCCTTTCCCTTTATCTTTTGAAGTTGGTAGTTGGTTATATGTTGAAAACCTCTGCCGCTCGTCAAGATTATTTTCTCGGATCATAAAATCACTTGATTCTAGGTGGAGAGGTTGGTTCCCTGGCAGATTTCTTGATCCTATCAGCGGTTGATCGTCTGGCTCTCCTTCGTCCATGGCTGTGAATAGCCCATGCATTTCTTGTTGCTGTTGCTGTTGCTCCTGTCTGAAACCTGTGGAGAGATCCGCCCTGTGCGGCTGTTTGGACTTTGCGGGGTCTGATGAGCTACCCCGATCTAGAATTGGAGGCTCATTGTGGGCTAGAGACATGTGCATTTTATAGCTATCTCGGCGACGTGTACTATGTGGTACGGTCTCACCAATCGCTTTGCAAGGCTGGCTCCAGATTTCATTTCTCCGCTCCCAAGCCTCGTCCAGTTCTTTCGTCCGTGAAATGATACCGGTACTGCGATTGCGGAGCAATAGTCTTCTAACAACTAGCGAGGCCGCCAACTTTCTCACACGGTCACGAAGTCGACCTTTCAGAGTGTTGTACCGAGTATAGTTTCCAAGTTCTTTTATACTTGGATCTTCATGAAAAAGACCTAGGAACTTCGTCACACACAAATCTGGAGTTGTGCCATAATACATGAACTCATGCATGAATCTGAGAATATAATTATCAGGTTCAAGACTGCCTTGGCCAGTCCAAGAAGCTCCTGTATCTTCCTCCAACCATTGTTGCGAAACAAAGTCTCTCATCACTCCCTTATCATCTGTTGATACGATTTGCCGGATATGACGAAAGTAATCTTCGACATGGATATTGTCCCTAGTTCAAAGAGCCAATTAGCCTATGCTCTGCAGATCCTCTTTGAAGGCAGTCGAGCTAAAACTCACCTACCTGAGCTCATTCATACTACTGCGTCTGATCTGTCCCACTGCCAATGGTTCGGCCGCAGGATTTAAGCTAGCTCCAGATCTTGAAGAGATGTAATCATCCTCCAGCTGCTGAGCTCTTGGCCGCAAGCTTTGGCATCCTCGGGGTATTGTCAATAGTTCGTGATCTGAATCTAAACCTAGCTTTGAAACTGCCTTTTTTCTGAAGTATTAGTAATATAAACACTGAAGTTCTTTCTTGAATTATACAAAAATTTTGGTTGCGTGATTTGTTGTATCTAACATAGTTGGAAATCTTCAATGCAAAAACTTGCGTAAGGTGGTTCTGAATTCTAAGGATGTAATTAATCATTGCCATTTTATGGGGTGGATTGCTGGTAACATACTCTGCCTTGTCCTTCGGTCACTTGAGTCGAGGGGCATTACCATCAACATGCTCTGGCCAGAGCGCGATTGTATTTTCGTTATCCTCGCAAAATCTTTCTGCCAATCTTCGAGCCTCTGGCTGTTGACTTGACTTGACTCTTACAACTGGAAGTTCCAAGGTGTTAAGTTTCTTTTTCAGCTCAGAACCATTTATACCTCTGAAACCTAAAGCTTTGTATATATTATACATCGGCCTATCTCTGTTTTTAATTGGTGTCTTCATATTCCTTTTCGTCTTTGTTTGAGGGTTCACTGGAGCTTGAAAATTTGACAACGTATTCCAAGCGAAGAATATTAACGGTTCTATTCTTCAGATGATGAAAGGAAGACTGGAAAGTTAAATACAATTATTGAGAGACGGGAACTAAAGAAGTAAATATTAAGAATTATAATACTGAATGTAATGAGCCTAGTATTTTATTATTAAAAATAAATTTTATAGAAAGACTTTGAATAAATGAATATTAATTATCAAATCTAGCCACTTAATAAATGCTTAATATATTCGGTGGAACCAAATTTCTAAAGCAATTCCACTCAGATTTGCTTCACATCTGATCTTTAGATTCCCTCCATTACTTATAGACTTCAGGATAGGTCTATGGCTAATTGTATAGACTGTAAGTTTCCGAAATACTCGTAATGCATCCGCTCCAGAACTAATTGACTGGTAATTCTTCATGCCCAATGAAATCATCATCATCATCATCATCAAAGTTCTGCATTGACCAGTCTTCAATTTCTTTTTCCACTGCATTGTTTATATCTTGCACCATTCCAGTATCTTGGTAAATGGGGATGCCGTTTGCACCCAAATTTACTTTCTTTTCCTTCATGCAATTTGGATTGTGCAAGCACCCACCTCTATGTGAGAAGCAATTATTGCGACTAATGTTGTCATTTCCAGGTTCAACAGTAGTATGATTCGGATTCAAACATGTCCAGTTCCCACAAAGATGGCTAAGATGCCACTTCTTGTTGATGAACCCATCCTTTTGCAATTTTGATATAGTATGAAACAAAATCTTGGAAACTATACCAAAGTTTAAGACAATACTGTGTTTGCCATTGAGATCTTGCCAGTAGAAAGACTTCCGTATCTTGCCGTAGGGACGCAATGTACCAATTGAAGTCATGCGAGGTGGTGGTGGTGCTGGATGAAACCAGCATTCATTGTCTTCTCTGAAGGGGTCGAGCAAACGATTGGTCGCTTCCAACCATAGCTGCATGGCCTTTTTAATATGGGGAGGTCTGCGAATAGATGATACAATAATGCATTTTCTCTCTCTGCAGGTGAGTTGGTTTCTTAGAGGTGTTTTGTTTGATGCATTAACCAAGTGTGGGGTAGCCTGGACCAAAATTGCATTACCAGCAGTGCCAACTCTGAGGGGTGCATTAAGCCGATCCGAAAAATTATCAAATGGCTCTGATTGGATGTATTCCGAAAAACATGGGAATTTCTCATTGTTTGCTTTTTTGTGTTTGAACCAAGATAGATTATATCACCTTTCGTAGATTCATCTGCAAGGTTGCTTATATCCAAGGCAGCTGTCAAATCATCACTTCTAGCGCTTGTCAACTTGACCTCGCACGCATCTTCAAATATAGGGCCTTGAAATAGGTGAGTTGAAGGTAGAGATACGATTGGCTTTTCATAGGTAGCCAGTACTACCGATGCGCTTGACACCACATCATGCGTGATATCTGCCAAGGGTAGTCGATAAGATCTCTGAGCTCGTTCGTGGTATTCTTTTGTTTCATCTACGAAATTTTCTTGGGAATCTTGAGTGAGATCAATGATAATACGATCATCTCCTGAAACTGCATTCGTGTCACCGGATTGATTGTGATCGTTTGGTAGAATATTTCCCGGCATAGGTTCCTGTTCCTCCAAGTCCTCGAAAGACTGGTCGAGGTTATAGTGGGGAGAAAGTGGTGGAGAAGTAGCATCCACGGTCCGAAAGGGCGTCGAAGCCACCTGCTCCCAGTCCCGGGAGTCGGGTAGGACTTCAAGTGCAGCCATGTTGAACCAGGAACACGGTATTTGTGTTGTTCATCAAGCCCCGAGAATAAGAAATTGATTCTTTAATGATATAGCAGAGAGTATAATGGGTCTAGTGCAGGCGAAATTCGGATAAGTATGTTGGGAAGTGAGTGTTGTGGTATGCCAAAGAGTGTAGATTCTGTATAATTCGCAACAGCAGCTAGGTAGGTGATCTCGAGCCAAAGTGAGTGTGGAGTAGAGATAGATTTCAGTTATCAATGATGGCGAACTGAGGCTGAAGAAGCAGAGATCATGCCTGAATTATACCAAGCAGAAGATGTGCTGCTAAGGAGAATGGATATTCTTCAGTCTGGGAAGATCAAGTAAATGATAAATAATAAATAATAAATGTGGTTTATAGCCATAAAAAGAGTCAAAAAGTGAAGCCCAAATAAGGATATGAAACTAGGTATCTAGTAAGTGAGATCAGAAGATAAATAGTATTGTTTTCTTGAGTTTGGTCTTCAGTCTTGAGTCTTGAGTCTTGACTGAGACTAAGAACTAAAAAGTCGAGGAGGTAAATCACGTTTTCTTGAACTCGATTAATTTAGCTTATCTTTGAATGCACCTTCCATCACTGCTCAGGTTGTCGTTCCTTCCCTTCTTCTCTTTCTTTGGGTTGCCAATTGGAAAACTCACTTTAGCACTAACTCTCCTCAATTCGGAGATCAGTGATTTTTCTTATTCGTTTTGTTTTTCTTGAACCATCCAACCACTCAAAAAATTCTCACTGCGACGGTGATGTGATCATCCATAAGTGATCAGTTTTATCGTCGTGGAAATCTGACTTTTGATCTCGAATTTATTCTCTCTGCGCATATGCAACCTTTCATCCTATAAAACACGAATATTCGTCTGAAAAGTATCATCGGACAGGCAAGATGTTCAATTTTCAATTTCAGGGTCGAGGCCCATGTCAGAATTGCCCCCGCTTCCACTACGGATACTGTCGCGATGCCCCAAGACAATGTTGGCGTTGCAACGATTACAATCATGTCGAGCGCTACTGTCCACGTCGTCGTACAAGATGGCCTCGAGACCTAGCGCTTCCAGGAACTCGTCATTGGTGCAGCTATCATGGTTTGGATTCTGATCCTACGCTTCGGTGAGTGCACAATAGCCGCTTTGTTTTTCATCCGAACATCTCAGTTGACATTGTATCTCTCTAGATCTAGAGTTCTTAACGCGTTGAAGACTTCTCCAAGTTGCAATATTTACATTGATGGCTATTGCATCTATAAAGGCTGCGTAGAGCATCACTTTCGACACGAACAAGTGAGAGGTAGACCATTGGCAGAGAGAATGACACGTCGAAGATCCAGGTAGGCGGCTCCCACAACAACTTGCATGTCATCAACACTAATCAAAGCAGATCTCCCGATCGAGAGCAAATCAAGCGGGGCCGATCTCGTTCACCACTTCGTCGCAGATCACCATTGCCAATAGAGAGACGACTGAGACAGGCGTCTCCAATTCGTCAAAACCGTGGTCGATCTGAAAGCCTGCCACAACAGCAAAGACAATCACCACCACGCACGCCACTTCGGCCCAGGGGAAGATCTCCTGTCTTCAATGTGAGCGGGATTGCTTTCTCTCAAGCTAATGAGGCAAGAACAGGTATGGAGATCTTTCGACCTTCATTTCTACAGCATCAAAGCCTTTTTGCTAGTCCAAAGCAGGTATCAGAAAAGCAGCAGATGCAGCAAAGCATTAAGAGTGTGGTTTTCTCCAACATAATCAAAATCCCTTCATTCCTGGTTTCTGGTGACCCACTATGCGCAATATCGGGAGATGATCTTCTACAAGAAACCGAGAAAGATGGCTTGAACTACACTCAACAACAACAACCGGTCCTAAATGAGAATGGTAACGCGCAAGAAACAGTGGAGCTTTATATCGAGGATCCACATTTCATATTAGGCGTCAGAAAAGATGCGCTTGAGAAGGAGTATGTCTGCGGTATCTTCTTATATCTACCAGAAATAATTCTGCTAACAATACCCAACAGGATCCTCGAGGCCTATCAACAGAGTATGTGGGAGATCGAGCGTCAACGTATCGCCGATACGGACTACAAAGAGCCTCCTGGACCAGATAATGTTTGGGACCAGAGTGTCGCCCAATTGCGCGCCGCGAAAAAAATGCTTATCGGGTACTGATGCTCTAGAGGCTTCAAGTTGACGAAAACGAATGGGGATTTTATTTTGCTGCTGTAACAAAAGATGAGAGAATGGTATCGTACGAAAATTTGGGAACAAGATGCAGAATGTTATCATCTGTAAAGGAATCTCTAAGACAGCAAAAAATATATACTATATGTATTGTCTGAAATATGAAGAACAATACACTTATATAATACATATTTAGTAGACCAAGAAGCTACTAACTCTGAATCATTGTTCGTTAGAGAACGATTACGGAATCTTTTCAACCCTTTTTCTAACTCTCCCTGTTTACTTTTATAACTCCCCTCACTCAAACCTAGCCTTTCTCAAACCTCTTTTACATCCATTATACAAATTACTTGAAAGAATAATGAAAAAAAAAGTGTAAAAATATTGTGACAATAGTAATGTCGAGCCAGGAGGATTATAAGGAGATAGATCACAATGTAGAACGAATTTAATATCATGGCAATCATCTGAATACGCCTCTTTACGCAGATACCCAGGTATAGTGAAGGAATGCCAAGATCATAGATACATTTTGTAAGCAACTTGCTAAACTCACCAACTAATCTTGGGCATTATATCTTTATTGTTACCAAATACCTCGAATATTGAAGCTTAATTGTCTGTCCCAACTTCGAACATTAGCTAGGTGGAGAATCATTCATCCAGCTCATCAATCCATTGAAAACCATACACCTATTGGTTCTATACCAAGTGGAGTTTCATTCTCAAGGTCCTCCATTGTATCGACCACTGCAGTCGTGTTAGCGTTGGCTTCTACGTAAAATCGTGCATGAAGAGCAGTAGAAGAGCAATGGAGGAACTCACAATCACTTATATCCTGTTTCCCCCCCTCCGTCGCATTCCAAGCCAATCTAGCATTAACCCTCACACTTCTCAAACATGGCAGCCTGCCCTCTTCTACCGCTTCATAGACTGCCCCAGCAGTAATGTTCACCTCGGTCCCCGCTGTCCCGCTACAATCCAGATCCAATATTTGCAGTGGATGATCTTGGGGTATATTTTCAAATAACGCATCTGTGATAAAATCGGCGGATATTCGGAAAGCGGTCAAGATGGGACACATTAAGAGGATGTAATCCAATGCCCCAACTCCCATACGATTCATTGGGTGCCGAATCGTTAAGTGTTGGAGTTGAGGCCCAAGATGCTCTATAGTGCTTAGAAGCGCAGGTGAGTATACCATGCTGCAGTGTTGGATGCTGAAACGGGAGAGTGTCGGCGGAACATTGAGAAGATGCGTACGAAGGAAGTGATCGTCAACTCCGCCCGCTAGATGGAGACCTTGGAGCTTGGGCGGCCATTCGCATATTTCGTCATTTTTGTCTAAGTCACTATTGGAAGTACGCGGAAAGAGTAATGTCTCCAGATGTTGCAGAGTTTTGAGGGCTCGAAACAGTAAGCGATTCGATATGGAAGCGGATATTAGGGAGAGGTCCAAGTATCGAAGTTGAGTACATCTACTGAGAGCGGGAAAGGAATTTATAGCGAACGAGGCTTGTGGTGCCACAAATTCCACGATGTTTCCCTTCAGTCGGCCCAGTAATCGTGCAGTCAAGCTTCTAGAACTGTTATGTACCAATCCTCCCATATCAAGCCGTCGGACCAGGGGAGCGAGTGCGGATTGCCGTACATGCGCATTTTTGGAGGGGCAGACGGTAGTGACAAAGACATTGAAGTTCCCGCCGCTGAGATATGGTCGCTCGTATAGAAGAGATATAGATGCAGAATACCAGAGTCTGGATACAAGCGTGCATGAGTAGAAAGTAGACTGAGTGTCCTCGCGACGGGGAATATACGAGAGGATGTGAGAGACTATCTCCAAAGGAAGAAGAATCTCTTGTGAGGGGGCTTTACGATAAAGCTCTGCCATCGATTCGGGAGCCGGTACAGGCTTTGACTGTTGAGATGCGTTGGACAGCTTCAGAGGCTGCGACATCTCTACGTTCCAATTACTCTGTGCGTCGAGAGCCATTGTGGGATTTGTGGAATCGGGGGGCGTTCGATAGTTCTACAATTCAATCTTTATAGCTGTAGGAAACTGCTTGCAAGCCAGAATATTCACGGCTCATATGAGAAATTTGACATCTCGACAACGAGGCAGAGAAGACTCATTGTGAGCTAAGTAAGTTGTTGAATCCGTATCGTAGTTATTGTGTACTTTGGGGCTCTTGATATCGTCATGGTCTCGTTCTCGCCACAAAATGCGAGGCTTTTCGGATAGGATTAGTCAGCCTTATCGCTTGGGAGAAATGACTTCAACCCATTGTGCGTCTGATGTCAGATTTCAAAATCAACATTGAGACTTTTGTGAAAAGTAACTTATTCATTATAGTTTTAGAAAGAGGTGAGCTACGCGATCTCAATAAAGATCATCTCGAAGATTTTGGAAGAACATTCGAAGAATCCGGGCTCGGGGCGTATTCTGATATCGACGCCGAGAAACAACTACACCCGGAAACATGGCCGGCACAAAACGCCCTCGTTCGCTTTCGCCTTCTCTTTCTCATATCTATTCCCACAAGAGGTCAAATCCCGTGAAGGATGGACGTGTAGATCCTGTGTATGGTCAACGAAGTGCACTTCCTGCTGATGATGATTCTCTCAGCTTGGATGAGGAGGGAATGGATGCCCTGAGTTATTTGAGATCTGTCAGGTGAGCACCCTCTCTGTTGCTATCCATGTCTGTTTATACAGATGGATAATAGTGCTGAGTATTCAGTTGCAATTAACTGGAACTATCGCTAATGGTAATCCCTTAGAGCAGAAGCAGAAAACCTTCAACCTATATTCTACGCCCCCGCAGAGACAGCAAGCCTGAACGCTAATGGCGAGTACGATCGATCGATTTATGAAAGCGGCGTGGGAGATTTCAGGGGATACTATGAAGATGGTGCTTATTATTCTGCGGCTGAAGTTAAAGTTGACAGGAAAGAGGAAGAGGAAGATGTAGGCCAAGATCCCCAATTGGCATACTTCGACTCCATCTTGACACGATTCGCGGCCCTGCGAGAAAAAATGCAAAAAACCCCTCCAGCCGACCTGGTAAAGGATTTAGACCCAGATCATCCCATCTATCTTAACAAATTGGATACAAAAATCTGCAGATGGTGGAGATGGAAAATGAAGACAGTTGATCCTCTACCGACACAGATCGCAAGTATGAATAAAGACACGGTCTTGAAGTTGATAAGACTCTTGATGGGAGGTACCCTGCTACAAAGTGGCTCCGATATCAATGCGAAGGTTAGTAGGTGGGCTTGGGCATTGTTGGCTAGATTGCCGGTAAGAGGGGAGCTGAGTAGTGATGAGATTGGGGTTATAAGAGAACTAGGAAAGAAAGCTGTGATGCTTAGTGTTGGATTAAAGGCGAGTAGTGGGCTGAAAGAGGGGTTAGACGAGGTGGAGAAGGTATTTGAGGTCGATAATGGGGTTGGACTTGTGGATGGTGAAAAGGCTCCCAGTTCAGGGGATGAGAACTTAGTAGAGAGAAGTGTTGAGCACCAGGTAAAGCGGACGGACAAGGATGCCACGCATGCATTGGACGGAACGGAAAACGCCATGCAATCGATTACAACAGAAAACTCGACGCCAACAGAAAACTCGACGTCAACAGAAGAACAAGAACCTTGGGGGGCGACGCTGGATTCGCATGAATTAGAGGCAATCAAAGCCCGATTACTCGCCAATATCACTTCAAACCCCTCAGGTGAGGCAATAGCAGCGGAAGTTTCTCAGCCGCCTAAAGCAGAAGAACCTAACCCCTCCACAACCGAATTGCCAATGTACACACCAGCACACACGGTTAACTGGAATACTAGAGCGACGATCGATATGATCATCACGATTGCAGGTGATATTTACGGACAGAGGGATCTGTTAGAGTTCAGAGAAGTATGGGGTGAGTAAGTACTCCCAGGAGCGGCTTGACAACAGATATTTAGTTGCGCTGATCAATTGCACTATTTGGAGGTCACGAAATGAAAGCAGAAGAATGAACGTGGAGCTTTTCAAATAGGTTTGGGAATGACTAGAGCTTAATTATTGCATTAATCTCCCGCTGTAGCTTAAGATTTAAGTATGGTTTGGTTGTAAGTATAGATGGTAGGTATTGCGGCAAGTAATTTCCTTCCTGGATAGTAATGAGGTAAATCGATTTGCTTTCCCTTAGTTGAATACATGATGCAGCTTTCGAGGTATAATAGTATCACTTTTGCCGTCCTACGTAAATGCACAAACTGTATGAAATCAATTAATTGTATGTGTAAAAGTCGATGTGACTATAAAGAGGACCATGCGCTCATAGAGATACAGAAAAACCCCAATGCCACCGCTGCTTATTCAGATGTTGCAGTTTTAGGCTTTGCCAGCCCGCTCAAGTAATCCATCCAGAAAACGCCTCTCCAAATGTATGCAATCGACAAACCTCGTCCCGAAACCATCAATCTCCATAGCACAATTTCCAGTTCCCATAATATGCAAAAACTCCTCGAACTCATCGATGAGGCGTATCGTATCCTGACCTCCTTTAAACGCCGCCCATATGAGTCTCTTCCACTAAACCATAATCCAAAAAGTCGGCCTCTCCAAAATCCACGTCCGCATTCTCGTCCCCGCCAAATCCCATGGTCATATTATTTCCGTTACTCTTATAACCTCTCCTCGACATCGGCATCGCAGTTCTTCTATCACCCATGTTCATCAAGACTCTTCCCTCGTTTTCCATCTCTCCAAATGGATTTCCACCCTCCTCTTCTTCATCAATGAATCGCCTCTTAGCTCCATTACCACCCCCATAACTTCCAACACTATCATTACTCATCGTGCCTTCCTGACTATTGCCTAAGACTGCTTCCTCATATTCCTCTTCATCTTCGTCTTCAATTGCCTCTCCCGATTCGCTGTATCCCTGTACGCCCAATCCGCCAACCTTCATTAGACCGCAGAAAGGTGTAAGTTCCTTAGTCCCAGCTCGCGGTCGGGTTCCTTTATATTTCGTTGAGGCAGGTGTCGATACAGGGGATGCAGAAGATAATTTTGATTTGGTAGCAGGTGTGGTGTCCGTAAATAGATTGAAAGCGGAATATGAACCGGTTTTATAACCTTCGGAGACGGATTTGCGAATGCGCATACCGACGGTGAGGAGCGAAGATTGGATGGGATGGGGTAGAGTGGGTTTGCATTGAGGGGGAGGTGTGGAGAGAGATGTAGAGCCCGTGGTGAAATAGGAGGTTATTTGGGATTGGGAGCCAGCGTAGGGGCGTTTTACTTGACGGGTGGGCATGATGACTGTGATTGATGTTTGAGATGATATGATGGATTATGAGTCCTTTACTTTTGGTAAAGATTGGAGGGCGGAAGGTTGGTTCGGATGAATCATAAGATGATATGTTGCGACAAGTAGTCGAAAGGAGTCCCGGGGTTCCAGTTGAGTTGAATACAAAGAGCCCACGGGAAGAGTTTAGCGTTAATTTGCTGTGCTGCGAATTGTGGTATTGTACAAAGAACTGAATTATCATAAGATGAATAGAACTTCAAAGAACTAAAGGACGATGATAGCAAGTGAATAGATATCAGATAGTAAATAGAGGTTGAGAATTGTACAATGGTTTGTGAAATAAAAGAGGGGTTCATATAAATTAACTTTCCGGGTTTATGAAACAGGATAGGATGCGTAACCGTAACCGCGACCGTGACTTGTTAGTGGTGGTTAGGAGATTACATAATAAGTCCTGAGATATACTAGATTTTGGCGGCGCTAATTCTACAATACAACAAGCCTTTCTTCAAGTGAGAATTCAAAAGAAACATCGGATTTCAAACACATGTATAGTAACAGCATGTTATTTTTGTGAAGCATGAAAATAAACCTTGGCGAGTAGAATGCTGGTCTACATTCATTACTGTTATCTAGGTACTCTCTATAAAGCGAGCTTAGAATTCAGCCTTTTGCTGTTAGCCTCATGTTATGTTATAGAAATACACATACGGTCTTGAAGAAGTGGATCTTAATGAATATCCAGCAACTCCTATATAGGAGAAGTGAAATATCGAATGAAAGACAGGAAGGGCTTCGGGTCAACCCGATTTCCTTAACCTCTGTCTACCAGATATCTTGATGGCCCTTTCGGGCCATGGATTCCAGCCTTAACTTGGGGTGCATATCTTCCCCAGTCCAAATTTCCCTACACTGTGTTCTTCAAGGCCCATCTTCGGAGAGACATCGGATCTAAAGATCCTGATAAATCTGCTGAGATTTGCATATAAGACAATCAATTGAATGGGTAGTTGCCTGCCCTACTTCTGTTTGCATCACACTGTAGAACCAACTTTCCCAGAGATAGGGTAAATTAGTTAACCCGAGAAATGGGTAATTCTAGAGTAATAGGTTTGGTCTTACTTGGTCTTACACATTGGCCTAACTGGTTAACGTTGTAGTCTTTCAATGTCCGAAACATAGTACTCAGATTCATTGAATATAATTCAATATTCCAAATATTTTTAAAGTTCCGAACGTTACAAATGTTTAACTACTTTAATATCAATGAATTTTCACAAGGAACTCAATGTACCAATCATATTCAAGGAAAGAAACATCTAAAATCCAAAAATCTAAGATCGGGATGGGGACCCCTGAAATGAAGCTTGGGCCACCTCTAGAGATAAAGATAACCAACCAAAAATATATCTCCACAACTCCAACTCACTTCATCCTTCAACCTTTCACATGTGTCTGATTTCCATCCAAAGATTCCTCGATTTGTAGCACTCACCATCAAATCTTAAACATGTCCCTTATTGGCCAGATAACCCACAAGGTATCCATGAACTCCCAGCGCTACCAGTTGTCAAACCCGATAATATCAAGAAGCGGGAAGAAGACTGTGAATGGGACAATCAGCTTAATATTTAACCCTGTTGAGCCATCTTGTGGCCAAAAAAGATCTATACATTCTTCCCGTTTCCCATCCTCTTCTTTCTCTTCTTTCTCTTCTTTATCCACTTTTTGCTCCTCAAAACAGTTGAGAAAAGTTACAATAATGGGCCCAACTACCCATCAACGTCGTCGGTCTAGCACTGCAATGCCTGTCACTACAAATCTCCTACCAGGCTTTGCTTTTGCTTTCGAGTATGTACATATCCTATATGATCTTCATATATACCTCTTGATCTAACTGGTTCTAGTATTGATGGTGTCCTACTTCGATCATCCTCACCAATCTCTGGAGCATCCGAAGCTTTAAATCTACTTCACTCAAACAATATCCCCTTCATCCTATTAACCAATGGAGGGGGCAAACATGAGAGTGCTCGTGTGGCAGAATTGAGCAAAAAACTCAATGTTCCTCTTACTGAAGAAAACTTCGTTCAATCCCATACACCATTCAAACAACTTGTTGAAGAATCTGATACTGTGGAGAGTCTTAAGGACAAGACAGTTCTTGTTACTGGTGGAGATGGAGACAAATGTCGCAAGGTTGCAGAAATGTTAGTGAATTTTTTTCATTTTTTTTCAAAGAGATGTTTGTTTTTGAATTCGCTCCAAATACTGAATTCCATTGATTCATTGAGTCGGCTCGAGAAATTGAATCAGTTTGTGACATTGAACAAAAACAAAAACAAAAACAAAAACAAAACAAGCCTGAACAAAATGCTAATACTATGCACACAGGTATGGATTTACCAAAGTTGTGACTCCAGGTGACATTCTCATGGCTTATCCAAGTATTTGGCCCTTCAATCAAATCTTTAGCGAGTATTACAACAAGGCTACCCGACCTCTTCCAGGACCCGTTGATCTCGACAATCCCTCCCAATCCCTCAAGTTTGATGCCGTTATGATCTTTAATGATCCACGTGATTGGGCCTTGGATACGCAAATCGTACTTGATCTTCTCCTGTCTGAAAAGGGCATTCTGGGAACCTATTCCTCAAAGAACGGCGACAGCTCACTCCCCAACAATGGCTGGCAACAGGATGGGCAACCAAAACTCTACTTCTCAAACCCGGATCTCTTTTGGGCAACTAATCACCACATGCCTCGTCTCGGCCAAGGAGGTTTCCAGGCATCTCTCGAAGGAGTTTGGAATGCTACTACTGGTAGTGCAAAGCTCGAACGTACCGTCATTGGCAAACCACATCCAGCAACATACAAGTATGCGGAGCGTGTACTACACAAATATCGTACACATATGCTAGGCGGTCGTGGTGAGATCAAGCGAAAGATCCCACATCTGAAGCGTGTCTTCATGGTTGGCGATAATCCAGAGTCGGATATTCGCGGTGCTAACGAATTCGAATCATCCCACGGCACAGACTGGACTTCCATTCTGGTCAAGACCGGTGTATATAGAAGTGGCACGGTACCTGCTCATAAGCCAGAGGTAATCGTCGGAGATGTTTACGAGGCTGTTAAGTGGGCTTTAGAACAGGAAGGTTGGCATGCAGCTCTTGATTGATTTATTCTTGCTGCTTGCTCTTCCGCACAGGTATTCTTGCATTGGTGCGGGCGCGGCATGACTTCTTCAGGACCCTGGAATGAATATAGTCTGCGTTGAAGTCTAAAAGCGAGCGAACAGTCAAATAATACCATGCATTGCGAAGGCGTTTCATAGAGTGGAGGCGTTTGGGTTACATTTAGCTTTGGACGATGTGCAAAACTGTCTTCTAGAGACGATAGATGATAGATGAGATACCAATGAACTAGGCACTGGCAGTAGCCAGTCCAGTAAAATAGATGAGAAGAAATGAAATTAAAAAGTTCCAAAAATAAGTCATTAGTGTCTTGAATGCCTTTTTGATCGTCTTTCTGAGCGCATCACACCTCAACTATGAATAGTTTATTATTATCAATGCGCGCAAAGTTGAGAGTGAGCACGAGGAAGCATTATAACGAATGAAATACGTCGGCTAGATTTGAGCTAGCCACATCAGGCTCGTGTGCTGATGGCTTTTAGGATTCTGCAATGTCGACATTACAGCACAGTGGAAATAAACAACCATGGTGATGTGCCTTTAAATACTCTCTCTTGTACAAACTAGTGAATTGGCCATCGGGTTCTTCCAAGCGAAGAGGAAGGGTATCTGGCTATTTATTGGGTATTAGGCTTATAGGGTTTTAATTGAATTGATTCAACCGTACCGTATATCGATTGAGATTGATATCTCCGGAGTCCGGACCAGTAACTTTGTGATATAACTTGGAAAATATAGACAAGTAAATTCTGTCTTATATCTTTAAAGCTTTTATTTGTAAATTGCTAGTAAGTCAACTACCCTACTTTCGGGTCACCCCCCCTTTCGGGCCACCCTTTCACACCAAAAACAGTGATTTTCGAATATTCACAATTCTATCAATATTGAATCTAATTAAATTACATTTTGAATATAGATTCCATATATAGTTATTAGCTCAGTTATAGTTTTTTAGATTTTTATAACTTTATATAAAAAGTTATTCAAGTTTAAAAATCAAGGTTTTCATTTTGTATACGATTTATATACAAATTTCAAAATATTCTAAAAATCTTAATAACTGTTTAACAAAAATAATAAAAATAAATAAAAATAAATTTATAATTTTCATATAATATTTGAACATATATTATTATAGAAAATCAATTTATT